TAATATCATAACTCAGGCTATTTGCTGGCGAGAAAATGTGACAGAAATCCATGACTAGGCCTATCGTTCACAGCTGCGCGGTTGCCTGTGTCTCTATCCCGTATCCCCCCTGCCTATGCCGTATGAGTGATGATGGTTGTCGCTGTTTGTCCTGTATTGTTAGCAGTTCACTGGTGTCAAATATGTGACGGAGAGGGCCCCATGGGGGGATACGGAGCGCCGGAGGGCGAGGAGAAATAATAATAAATTTTTCTTCTCTTACTACTAGCTCTTACTTCCATTGTTAACTGATACTGACGACTTCCATTCTCAAATGTTAGCATTTGCCATGGAAAATTTCGTCTTAGCTCGCAATTTTCAACACAATCACATGTAAGCACACTTTGTCATCTGGAAATCGCTTTTATGAACGATCTTGCTTCTATTGATACTGATACTGACGAATTCCATTCTTAAATGTTCGCATTTGTCATGACGAATTTGGTGTTCGTTTAGCTCACAATTTCCAACACAATCACATGCAGGCACACTTTGTCATCTGCAAATCGCCTTTATGAACGATCTGTTATGATATTGGACTCCATTTTCGAGCTTCTGCGTTTTGCCGCTTATTGCGGCCTGAAAATTGCCAATAAACCCACAATATCACATCCAGGTCTGCCTAGTCAGCTGTAACGCACGTTTGTAGGATGATAATATTAGAAAATCTAGAACCGTGCCTGAGCGTGGTTCTGGAAAAAACACGGTTCTGTATACAGCGTAAGCCCCAGGTATAAGCAGGTAAACCCACCTGGTGATCTCTCCCCACACCTGGCTAACGTCTTGCCGCAGGTACAGGTAAACACCTAACGCCAGGTGCGCCCTCCCATTCCCGCCGTGCTTACATCAGCATTAAACCCCAGGTACAGGTAGGCAAACTCACCTGGCTAACGTCCTGATCTACCTGTCCTCCAGACAGTCGCAGGTACACACAGGTAAACACCTAACGCCAGGTGAGCCCTCCCATCCGTGGTTACCTCAGCATGAAAACGACCGGTAACAAACCGACGTGTCAGGTCGCCATAGTAACGGCGCCATAACTCTGGATGGAACCCCGTCGCCATGGCAATGGCGCCATAACTCTGGATATACTCCTGTCTCCATGGTGATAGAGCCATAACTCTGATGATTGAAAAACAGTCATGCCTTTAAATATCAGAGTTATCAACCGAGAATTGAGGTGTTCAAAATCTTGTATTTCCCCAGAACTATCGTAGACTGGAACTCGTTGCCACCAAGCACAGTTGGGGCATCATCACTAGAAAGCTTTAAACAACTCCTGCATAATATGCAAAGATTGGGTGTGATATAGGTAGTTGCCGCCGCGCCGCGTGCCTGCAAAGCTGGTGTGTTACACCCAAGGGTGCGTGGTTATACAGATCCGCTTGGAGACATTACCGAACCGTAAACATTGATAGATCTCCGTATTACCTTCTCACAGTAGGAAGTGTGATGATCCTTTGATTAAGAGACACGCGGCTGTTAGAAGCTCAGCAGGATTAAAGTTATAATAACCCCTTACTATAAATTATAATATCCACTGCCTCTGCGCTGTTGGAGGCTTTATGAGCCAGTAATGAAGAGATACACGAGCGCAAGCGGCGCGGGGACATTAGAGCTTTAATACCTATGGCAATCACTCGTGATCTTTATTTGCAATCAGATACAGATTTATGTACAGATACACATTCATGTAGATATACAGATACACATTTTTCCGAGTAGTATGACCGTGTCAGTCCCTACACCTGAGTGAGGGTCACAGTTGACACGGTGGCCTTCGCGTGGATTTGTTTAAGGTGGATGGATAACAGGTTGCGAATCTGAGACCCACACACTTGGGCATCCGTCTTCCCCAGCGGATCCAAATCGAGAGCTTTGATACCACCGTACACTCAATCATAATGGGTTCTTATGTTGCACTGCGGGAATTTTATGAGCCTTTAATTAAGAGATACAAGGTAATGAAGCGATGTGAAGCGCCAGTTCATTAAGAGATACAAAATGGCCCGTAATATAATTAAGAGCCGGGTGACATTCTATGGACCGTAGCGAGGCTGTGTGAAATTCAAACATAATCAGACCGACTCGGAATTTACGGTGAATCTGCCGGGGTAAAGTCGCTCCACTGACATTCAGACGGTGGGTCTTTGGCATTTGGTGTCCGGAATAGTTCGCACATGAAGTTTTATACTGCATACCGACAAAATTATCCCAGGTTTTTTACTGCACAATTTCTTGGTGCATTGGGATGGTACAGTTTTCTTCCCTCTGGTGGTCTGGCCTGCGGAAAGGCTTCTGGAATATAAATTCCAGTGCAAAACAGTTGTACAAAAATACGATATCTACTGCTATATAACAACAGGCTAGTTGTTTTAGTTGATTTGTGTATGATTTTGTGCTTTCTTGTTTTCTCTTTATTGTTATTTTTACCTTGTAGTTTCCATGCTACTTTTGAATGTATGTGTGGAGAGGGAGGGCCTCGATAAGTATAGATACTTTTGCCCAATCCTATAAAATAAATGTGAATTAAGTGAATAACAACAGAAATACTATGGGGCCTTACACGAGGTTATTTAGTATTGGTTGCAGCTTAACAGTATATATTAATATTGAATTTTTTAACGTTCATATTTCGACTCTTCGACTGGTCACTTTAATTGACTTCCAGCGTGGCGTCATATCTTTAAAATCGAAGAGGAAGCACGTAGAACCCGGACCCCTGCAGAGAAAACTGCTTCTCCATCAAACACAATCATGGACCTGCGTGTGGGGTGTGATTGGGACGTTTTACTTGATTATATAGATTGTACATTTACTCCCACGCACTGATGGCAGCCTTTCAAACAAAGTACCTTATTTCAACATTTACCACAATCACAAAAGTACCTTTTTTTTTCAACATTTAACACAATCATACTGTGTTCGGTCGTTAATTTTAGGCCCCAAAACTTGATTTTATGGATTATTACCCACAAACAAAACACATAGATTCAGTCTGTTTTAACTAGAAGAAGAAATTATCAGTATGAACAAACGGTCTAATTTTGTAGGCACACACAAAAGACCACACCACGCCTCTAGCAGAAGGTTGACATCTGCTGTAATTTTACCACAGGAAAAGCAAAACCTTCGGCCGGAAAGCAATGTAGAAACCATGGCAGCACCGTTGTGCTTTATATCAAAACCGTTATGATTGTGTCTAAAGGTGAAATCCGCTCTATTACTCCACCAAACGTTACTCGAAGTCTGTTGCATGATTGTGTTTTTTGGATACTGGAATGCTACGATAGTGTTAAAAGTTGAAATCCTCAGACGAGGTACAAATAACTACACTGGATGGGAAAAGAAAACGAACCTTCGATGAGCGGTGCAGTGAGGTTTAACCGCCTAACGCTAGAAACCCCTGTGGCATGATCACATTTTATATTACAACCGTTCTGATTGTGCCTAAAGTTGAAATCCGCTCTGTTACTCCACTAAACGTTACAGAAGTCTGTTGTATGATTGTGTTCTATATTGGAATCCTGTGAAAGTGTTAAATGTTGAAATCCTCTGTGTTATTCCGCCAGACGAGGTGCAAATAACCCCGGACGGAAAGTCGATGGAACCGGCGGGCCCTGAAATTGCGTCGTTACCTGCGCGTTCGGAACTCATCAAAACCGCGCCGCGGGCGGATAGGCTAGCCTGGCAGCCGGGAGTACATCCAGAACTGCATCCAGAACAGTGCTGCATCCAGAACCCTGCTGCATCCAGAACCGTGCTTTATCCAGAACCACTCTCAGGCACGGTTTTGGACAGTCACCATGTATCATGTGCCTATCTAGTTCTATGGCTGAATGGGTTAGGGTTGGGATAAGGCCCGGTTCTGGATAGTCTCCGCGTACCCTAGAACGTAGATTTGCCCCAGGCACGGTTCTGGATACACGTGGACTATCCAGAACCGTGTCTGAGCCTCGTTCTGCATAAAGCACGGTTCTGGATACGCGTGAACTATCCAGAGCTACACCTGGATAAAGCTTGGTTCTGGGTACAAAAAAAAGACAGCCGAAATAGATGAACTGACGATTAGAATTAAGATGCCACCACGCCAATGATTCACACATGATATCCCCCGGGTCCCGGCTCTATGTTAGACCGTTATTAACGGCTATTAATATTTACAGACGGACCGGAGCAGCGGAGATGGGATATCGGCTGGGCGGGTATTGATGGGGGAGGAGAGGTTAATTAGGAGGGGAGCTGGTCCGCCCAGGAGGGGGGCATGTTTTTCTTTTAACAATCCATCAATTCGGCAGCATGGGAGCTAGCGTAGCCAGACCCGGGCCTATCTAGTTTTATACCTGAATGGGTTAGGATCAGGCACGGTTCTGGATAGTCTCTATTGTATCCAGAACCGTGCCTATCTAGTTCTATGCCTGAATGGGTTAGGGTTAGGATCAGGCATGGTTCCGGATAGTCTCTATTGTATCCAGAACCGTGCCTGTCTAGTTCTATGCCTGAATGCATTAGGTTAGGATCAGGCACGGTTCTGGATAGTCTCTATTGTATCCAGAACTGTGCCTATCTAGTTCTATGCCTGAATGGGTTAGGGTTAGGATCAGGCACGGTTCTGGATAGTCTCTATTGTATCCAGAACCGTGCCTATCTAGTTCTATGCCTGAATGGGTTAGGGTTAGGATCAGGCATGGTTCTGGATAGTCTCTATTGTATCCAGAACTGTGCCTGCGGCAAATCTACATTCTTTGGATATTCTTAGTTTGGCAAATGGCTTTTTATTTTGCATTTATTCAGCCTCCTTGATGAGTCTGTAACATCCTACCTCCATTCGTGCACACGGCTCAGAGCGCCTCCTGGCGTCCGTAGGGGGTACTGCAGGTTCTCCGCGGAGGTGTTTCCGATAAGCCGAGAGGTCAGAGGTCAGCGCCGCAGGTGAGACACTTCCGGGTTCTGCCCAGGTGAGAAGTGTGCAGGTAACGCGGCTGGAGTCTACAGGTTAATAAGTTACAGGACTAGCAACTACAGCGGGAGGGTTTGAAGCATTTGGGAGTGTAGTTAAGGTAAGTGTAATGCACAGTTCGTCAGAAAGTCTGGTGTGATTTTGTATAGACTTAAAACTTTCGCCATTCAAGCAAAATGGCTTGAAACCGTCTTGATTCAAGTAACTGCTATGTTTTTGCCTGATAGCCATGTCTTAGTCACTTTTGTCATGTTGAATGGGTTATCTTCAACTACAGAAATGGCCTCTAAATATCAGATACTTCTGTAGAAACATTGTAGTTAGCTGTGCAATTTTAGGTGCGGTAAGCCTAATCTCCAATCTGGTAAGCCGTAAGTCGTAAGCCGGTGGTTATACCGGTTAAACAACACCGAGAGTCATACAGAAGTTTTTTTAGGTGCATGAACTTTGATGCAAATATCATTCATCTCCTCACAAACGGACATTTTACTCCGTTGGTTGTACAGATTTCAAACCCGGCAAATTTGATGTTTTTCCCGGACCACCGCTTGAGTGTAGCCTCTACCGGGCGTCGGGAGGTGGCTGGAAAGAGTAGAAATCGGCCAAATAGACAGCTACCATGCCGGCGGAGTTGGTCCGCTAGAGAGTACATTTTCCCACAAAATGTACCCTCTCTGGCCGGCTAACTCCTGTGATATAGTATTCTCTTTATTTTGGCCAATTTCTACAATTTTTCCAGTGATCCGCGGTGCCTGGTAGAGGCTAGCTTGAGTGTGTTTTCCCAACCAGCGATCTGTAGCAGGTGAAGTTTATTTAGTAAGACGCGCTGGTACTAAGTACTCACACGTGTATTCAGACTCGGTGAACCGAGAAAACTGGCCAGGGGACAGGTTTTGTCTAAACTCTCCCACCGTGAAAACTGTTCATGGCTAAAAAAAACACATTTTAATCCGACTTTGGCTGTACTTAAATACTGAATTGTCTAATTCCCACATTTTCTAGTTTCTTTGTCATTTTCATACCGCCAAAAAGGCTGTACATTCTGCCCTATCTAAAACAACGTAGACGAAATCACGTAACTCAAGTAAGAGCAGATCAATATTATTATCATAAGTAGTCATTATTTTATTCATGTTGCATTGCAGTGTAATGTTGTCGCTTTTATATGATTACGTACGAAGTATGTGTAACGTTAATGTGTTCTGGAATCCAGGAAGACTAGTTGCTTTTGCAGTCGCTCTTGCGACTATAATGGATATCCTAATAAAGAATCAAGTATGAAGTTTGTAGTTTGGTCGGCATATCGATATATTGATTGATTGATTGATTGGTTGATTGATTGATTGATTGATTGATTGATTGACTGATTAACTGATTTTTCACTTCCTAAGCTCCGTACAGAGTCCCGATGTCAGTGCCGACCGGAGCCCTGCCGGACTTGCGTCACAGGACGGCGGACCGCTCAGCAGCGCTCCCTGGCGGAATGAACCTGAACTTGCCGCCTGTCGCTCAGCCTGGCGCGGACTTTGCCGATCCCGAGCCGAACCCGGCCGAAAAGCCCGAGCGGCGTTCGGGAAGTTTCGTGGCGCTGCCGAAGGCTGAGCTCGGGCTGTGTGCGGGGATGTCTGTGTGTCTGTTTGTCTACATGTTGTACTGTGCGCTCAGGTTCTGCCTAGGTACGGATGTTAATGTACACCATTAGTTTTCATACTAAGTAGTTATAGCATATGAATCAATAATTCGTACTTATAAACCTGCTTTTCTGACAACTCTTCAGTGTCACTGATGAAAGGTAGTGGATGCTCCAAATTCCAAAATCATATTCAGTTGCTTGAGTAAGGCGTATCTTTGGATGTCTAACCTTTACCGACATTAAGTAGTTATATGTGTACCTATTTCATCTGCCTGGAGTTTTAAAATAAATGTACAATAACAAATAACATAGCAGACTTCTATTACACTGCCAAGGTATGGAATTTTGAATATTTGGATACTTTTTTTAACTCCCTTACCGATACTGACAAAGTAGTTTTATGTGGCTTCTAAAGCTTTCTGGAGTTTTTAGTTAAACACTACATTGAATCACAATTTTTGAATCATTTAGTGATGCTTAACATTGCCATCGATCTTCCACACCCTTTTCTTATTCTTCTAGATGGTGTTATGAAAACTCTAACTCTCCTCTTTTATTTGGATATAGAACATTGTAATTGTGATTGCATGCAAATTTTAAGTTTTGATTGAATGCCCTTGGTTAAACAAATGATCAAACTTTTGTTCCTTCAGTACAGTTAATTGTTAGTGTCCATTCCCTTCTGTGTCTGCCCAGATCACCAGCACCAGCTGAATGTAGAGGACCTCGGTCCGGGTTGGACCATTCTGGGCAGGAGAAAAGTAAGAATAGAAAAACATCAGGTTTTGTAAACATGTTTCTTTACTTCTTTTTTGAATTTACCATAACAAGATGGAGGGGGGGGGGACAAAACAGGTGATTGCTTACCTCTTCATGTTGTCTCCCCCATCTGTTTAAGGATAAACTATCAGTATTAGTCTTGAAGTTGAAGATCTAAGGGTTTTCTGTACCTAAACTAGAGCTGTGAATGAAGATAAGGATCAGTAATATCAGATTCTGGCCTCAAAACATTTCTGTTCTTCAAGCACGCAAGTCATGTTCTGAGTAAGAAATACAGCAAAGTGTAGGAACACGAAAGACATACATATTAACAACTGTTATATATCTATGGCAGCTGTCCTTGGTGCTGAATCTGTGGTAGAACTTGTTGTGTATGGTTTTTGCCCATTGAAATGATATTTGTACTCCAGTGCAACTACACTGCAAATACAGAGGACCATGCTTGATTTTAATAGTGTGTTTGTTTGTTTGTTTGTGTTTCCACAGGACGTGCATGACCCAGAGTGGAGAGAGTGGGTGAAGAGAATGTGCACAAGTTTCCCGCTGTATTACAGTTTGTTTGTTTGTTTGTTTGTTTGTGTATCCACAGGACATGCATGACCCAGAGTGGAGAGAGTGGGTGAAGAGAATGTGCACAAGTTTCCCGCTGTTTTACAGTTTGTTTGTTTGTTTGTTTGTTTGTTTGTGTTTCCACAGGACGTGCATGACCCAGAGTGGAGAGAGTGGGTGAAGAGAATGTGCACAAGTTTCCCGCTGTTTTACAGTTTGTTTGTTTGTTTGTTTGTGTATCCACAGGATGTGCATGACCCAGAGTGGAGAGAGTGGGTGAAGAGAATGTGCACAAGTTTCCCGCTGTATTACAGTTTGTTTGTTTGTTTGTTTGTTTGTTTGTGTTTCCACAGGACGTGCATGACCCAGAGTGGAGAGAGTGGGTGAAGAGAATGTGCACAAGTTTCCCGCTGTATTACAGTTTGTTTGTTTGTTTGTTTGTTTGTGTTTCCACAGGACGTGCATGACCCAGAGTGGAGAGAGTGGGTGAAGAGAATGTGCACAAGTTTCCCGCTGTATTACAGTTTGTTTGTTTGTTTGTTTGTTTGTTTGTGTTTCCACAGGACATGCATGACCCAGAGTGGAGAGAGTGGGTGAAGAGAATGTGCACAAGTTTCCCGCTGTTTTACAGTTTGTTTGTTTGTTTGTTTGTTTTCCACAGGACGTGCATGATCCAGAGTGGAGAGAGTGGGGTGAGGAGAATGTGCACAAGTTTCCCGCTGTATTACCTGGGACAGGCTGTTCTGGGGGCTGTTACAGGCAAACTCTGGCCAAAGGTAGGAAATAGGTCTTGGGTACCAGAGTTATCTAGCTTCCTTTGCAGGCTTTCCTGGATCAGAGTTTGTGTGTGTGTGTGGGGGTGGGGGGGGTGTG